CCCTGAATCCCCATAATTCTCATGTTCATTTGATACTTTCTGCCTTGTGGAGTAAATGACTTTTGTAAATTAATATTTATTAGGTATTAAGACCAACTATGTTACAGGCAACGTACTAGGTAGTCTTGTGTTCACAATAACCCAGACAGTATACAGGGTGTCCCAAAAAATGTATACACATGTTAATAGCTGATAGCTCAATTGCTGTTTCTTTCTTTTCACATTTAACCCATTGGAATTAATAATTATTCAAAGTATGTATACATTTTTGGGACACCTGTATATTGATATCTCCTCTTTACAGATAAGGAAAGTAAGATTTAGGATTTAGAGTGGTTAAGAAAAAAAAAAAGGCAAACTTGCCAGGGTCACCTAGTTCATGTATGACAGTCAGGATTTAAAACCAGGCTCCACACACCACAGTCTTTCCACCATGGCACCCTGTGTCATTTTGTTTATCCATTTCCCTTATTCACTGAATTATGGTGCATCATCATCTTAATCCAACCAGGACTCACTGAGGCATGTGGGCCTGGTGGGAAGTTACTATAATAGTCTAAAAAAAAAGAGTTAATGAAGAGAAGGCAGAATCCACAAACCCATGGGTGGGAACAGAGAGATGGTGGGAGAGAAGGATGACCCTGAGACTTCTGGCTTCTGGAATTATTATGCTGACTCTAACCAATATTATGAACCAGGAGCAGAGATGATGAAGAGAATAGTCAGATGTGAGTATCCTATGCAGAGATGTTTATTACATCCACCTGGAGCTTCCCAGAGCCTGGGTATCCTGGTTAAGAGCATGGTCTTTGGTGTCAGTTATCCCTAGTCTTGAACCTAAGCTCTACCATTTGTCAACTGCATGCCTTTAAGGATGTTACTTTATCTCTAAGAGTTTCAAGTTCTCATATGCAAAATAAGAATAATAATACCCACCTCAAAGAGTTTTAGAAAGATAGTATTAAACAATACATATAAAATGGCTAATACAATGCCTGGCATGTCATAAGTACTCAATAAATGGCATTTTATTGCTAACTAGAGGCCTGGTGCACAGATTCGTGCATTGGTGGGGTCCCTCAGCCTGGCCTGCGGGGATCAATGGACCTCTGCACTGCCGCAGCCCAGCCTTACCCACCAGCTGCTCAATCCCGCACAGCATTAAATAGTGTGTGAAGTGGCAGGTGGCCAGGGAGGAGACTGAGCCCAGGTGGGGCGCCTCACCGCTCCTGCTTATCTGGGCCCCCACTGCGCCTGCCACGCCACTACTCAGGCGCACAGAGGGAGTGTTCGCGGGAGAGGCTCACGCTTCTGCAGCCTGGAACGGCACTCCCACTGTAGGAGCACACTGACCACCAGGGACAGCTCCTGTGTTGAGCACCTGCCCCCTAGTGGCCAGTGCATGTCATAGCTACCAGCCGGTCATCCGGTCATCTGGTCGTCCTGTCGCCTAGGCTTTTATATATATAGATAACACAGATGATTGCAATAGTGTGACACCAGAGTAGAAGGCATCTGAGCTAGAGAATGGTTTTAGATATCATTGGTGTATGCACAATGGCTGATAGCCTAAGAGTCAGTGGAATACAGTTCCAATTTGTTGGTTCCTAGCTCAAACATCCTCAATGCCTCCTTCTTGATTACAGAACAAAGTCTAATTTATCATAGGCTAGCAATTTCTGATTCTGTGCTCTTGTTCAGAAATTGATTTCTCTGAAATTTTCCCCAATAGTCTGCTTTATACATTACATACACTACATATATCTATATACCTCATCTGCTAAAATGAAACTATGCATTCTCTATATACCTTTAACTTTCTAATCTCTATTTTCTTTATGTCTTCCCTCAGCCTAGAATACTCCTCCAAATACTATTCCCTCCTTCAGGGATGTCACTTCTTCCATGAAGTTCTTTCTAAAGTCCTCAGAAGTACTTAATATTCTTCTTTCTGAAAGTTTATAGAAAATTTTCACATCTCTTTTATAGAACTTGTTATTTTATACCTAAAATATATTTAGATCAGTGGTTATCCAGCTGTTCTCCACAGCACCTTTGGGATTCCACATAGGTGGGAGTGGGAAATGGAGAGTCATTTTTGGGGAAAGAAAACAACCCAAACCCAAGCATTTACTCAAGCACAATAGAGCTCAGTTCACTGAGCCCACCTCCTTGCCTGGCTTGTCTCCACTCCCCTATTGAACCGACTGCAACTGACAAGCCAAAAGAGAACTCCCCAGGCTCCCCTCATCAGGGATTTGGTGGATCTACCAAGGAAAGGGAGAGCAGGATAAATAAAACTCCAACACTCTAACCAGTAGTGAATTCTGAAATCTTTTATTTGTTTCCACGTAAATATCAATATTATTATTAGGCTATATTATTAATATCAATATTAATACTCTCTGATAATCAGGAAAGCACTAAATACAAAATCAAGGCTTAAAATAGGGGACCTGCCCAGTATTCTTAAGAACAAAATATGACTTAGATCAAGGTTGGATTCCTTAAGTCATTCACTAAGTAGAAAGACACTAGGTAACAGTTGATGAGGGAAGACTGTTAGCATGTCCAAGAAAAAAAAAATCCACATAGTAAAAGAAGTTACCTATCTTGACTCATAGCAACTAGTATATGGACACTTAGCATGTACTTTCACACTTTAGCACTATGGGCATAAGATTCTAGCAGTGGTTCTCAACCTTCCTAATGCCGCGACCCTTTAATACAGTTCCTCATGTTGTGGTGACCCCCAACCATAAAATTATTTTCGTTGCTACTTCATAAATGTAATTTTTCTACTGTTATGAATCGTAATGTAAATATCTGATATGCAGGATATATTTTCATTGTTCACAACCCACAGGTTGAGAACTGCTGTAAGGGGATCATTTAACAAGGGTGGAAGCAGGATTGAAAAATGGGAAAGTATTTGTCCAAAGTCATTTGGCTAATTAGTGACTCAGTCAAATTAGAATTCCAGTCTCCTGACTTCCCATTCAATTCTGTTTCCACAGAATTCTGTTATGTCCAGAGAAAAGTTAATTATCCTTTTGAAGGAGTGACTTAAATGAGACATGCATGTTTTGATGGGTGAAAGGTGGGGGAGTGAGGCTGCTGCATGGCAGAAATATCCCTGTGTGGGTGAAGGAGGGAGGCCAGCATGGAAGAGCAGGCCATGTGTACTCAAAAGGAGTGGGCATTTGCCAAGACAGGCCATGACACCAAAGACAAACATCCCACAGAACAGTTATGCTTAGGGCTGGAATGTGCATGTCCAGGTGAAATATAGTCAGAAATTCCGAACTTTAAAAAGTAAACATACATTTTCTTAAATATTATCTATAGTAATAAACATTTACTTATTAGATATCACTCATTGAGTAACATCAACTTGCAGACCATAGTCAGCACACACACACACACACGCACACACACACTTAAATTCTCTGAGTAGTTGAGACAGATTTATAGAATATTTGTTCAGAACAAATGGCATAAAGCATTTAGCCCAATGCCTAGTCCATAGTAGACCCTCCATAAATATTCCCTATAGTTATGATTGGCCACCACTAGAGCTTGGTTACTCTTAACTTATGCACAATTTCTCTTATTTAGCTTTTTATTTAGCACTTATTTATGTCTCCACAACAGATTAAAATAGAAGGGTGGGAATATAATTGGAGATAGACACTTAAGAGGAGATGGAAAACTATGTTAAAAAGACAGAAAAAAATTCAAATGTGATGGAAATCATCTAGTGCAGGGCCATCTTTCTGGCCCAGCACAATTATTGTGATGACACAGAATCATCCAGAAAAAGGTCTACATCCTGCATGCTCTATTTAAAATGGTAGGGAAACATTGGCAACCATTAAAACAAATTTTAGCCAAAATCTAAGAATCTACAAATTATCTAGAAATTTGACTTATGAAAAATTGCATGTGTTCACAATGCTGTGAGCCTGATACATCAGGAGGAACATTTAAACTAAACATAAGGGATCTCATTCTCTTAAAAGCCTTGGTGTTAGCTGATTCTAGTCTCAATAATTGATATAGGATCATATGTGATATTAGGATGTTTCTAGATAGAGATCATTGTTTTTCATAAGATACAGTAGGCTCTCAGTGTCTTTGACATAAAGTTGCATCTGATAATAGAATTGCTTCATTTTTGAAACTAGCAATGTGGTGTGCATGTACAAGGCATGGGGCTGAGTGTTATCAGCATAAGCTGAAGGGTGCATACATGTTCCATTGACTATCAGTAGCAAAGAATGTGTTTCACTCCCCAGACTCTTTAAATTCTTACTGGATTTTTGAGGGGGGAATTGCTATTAAGAACATTTGGAGGCTGGGAAAGCAATGTGGTAGAGAGAAAAAAGCCCAGACACAGAGTAATCTTTATCTTCACTAAGTCCTGACAGCTGTTCACAAGTTGATTTTCCTTCTTAACTGCACCCAGTGAGAGGTATTTAGGCAACATGTAGACTGCAACCCAGTCCATCCTAGAGAGGCAGCTGCGGTTGTCAGTGGGTCCACACCACTTCCGGCTGATTCATCACCCCCTCCTTGGTCCTCTTCATTTCGACAATGCCAGATGCCAGATTTCCAGCAAATGCTCGTCCAGTGTCTTTTTCAATAAAGCAAGTTTATTATGACCATTTCCTGACCAATAGAAACAATTGTTATCATGAAGAAGAGGCACCTATTTTCTTCTTCGGCAGAGGTACCTGACAGGCTTGAGGCAATTGTGAAGGATGAGGGCTAGGTGCTTTAGAAGATTGGAGGATAAATAAAGTTAAATGATATGTAAAATAAGTCTTAAATATCCCTGAGTGGGAGTGGGGGAATCTTCTTCTGGTCACATCCTGTGTAGCCAAAGGTGGGGGCTGATCTGGGACGACTCCTCCACTCCCAAGGAAGAACCAGTGTCCTGTCCACCCCCATTGTGGCATTCGAGCTTGGTGCATGGCTTAGGTGTGGCCATCAGGTCCTCATTTAGCACAGAATCTATCGGGATTTTGATGAATGAGAATTAACTCCCCACCATTCACCTGGATGTCTGCACAGGAGGTATTGTGAGTGGTCATATTCAAGTAGACTTTGTCCTTGTAATGCAGAGAGGCCACGATGATGGAGTCAACAAACGTGACCTTGTCATGGGAGAAGAGGGGTTTCTGGTTTTTCCTGTAATGAAGGCTGAGGCTGAGCTCCTGGGAGAAGTAGCCCTTCAGGGAGATGAGATAAAACCCATCACATGGGATGGGGATTGAGTTGTCTTGTATCTCCATGGTATCCTCCTTGTTTGGGGATGTGAGGATGAAACCTTTTTCATTGTCACACTCTAAGGAGGGTAGAACAAGAAGAAATAAAAAAAGAATGATTCCTTAACACAACTTTGGGCAACAACATTTCAACACATCTAGAAATATATGAAGAGACAGTGATAGGAAGAGATTTTGAGAAGAATGAGAAGAAGCGGGCATTGTGCTTTACCCATGGGATGGAAGAGGAGGTAGAGCTAGCACTGGTACCCAAGACAGTTCCTGACGGGGCTGGAACTCAAGAACTGAGAGATTAAAGCCATTGGCAGTTGTCACAACAGACCTGTGGCAGGAAATGGAGCTTGGAGGTTTCCCTGATTTTCAGAACAGGGAGGGACTGGCAACCTCAGGGCTTCCTTGTTCAATAGCTCAATCGGAGCAAAGGGTGCCAGGAGGGCCATTGCTTTGAGCTCTTCCCTATTCTCTCTTCACCTGACTGTGAAATGCACATTTTCACATGCCCTGGGCACTGGACTTCCCAGCAGCATTTACTACTGGCTTTTACCAGCAGCTGCTGAAGCTTAATGATGCCGCTGTGCACAGAATGTCAGTGGGCTCGGGCTCTGCCCAGAAAGAGGCAGGTGAAAGAGCTCCAGAACAAAGACCTGTCTCTCCCTTCTACCTTGTCACTAGCTTTTCCTGGAAGGTGCCTTGGGAAGAGCGGCTTTCACAGGAGGAAGCAGAGGAGGGGGAGGAGGAGGAGAAAGACAAGGACACAGAGTGATGGCTTTGGTACCCTCGTGAGGAGCCATTCCAAGTGTAAGCCAAAAAGCCTTAATTTCTTTTCAATCAGCCCTGATATGGCCAAGCAACCACATATCAGACTCCCCACTCTGGCTCATGTCCCTTGGTAATAGGAAAGAGTAGGCCCCACTGCTGGACACACAATCAATAATTCTTGCTCTGAACCAGGCCCATGGGGGCATGCTTGAACTGGAAATGAAGACCTCTTATGGAGGGCAAGATGTACTTCCCTCAGGCTCAGGAGAACTTGATAGACAGTGAATAGCCTTAAAGAAACTACTGGTGGCCCTAACCTGTTTGGCTCAGTGGATAGAGCGTTGGCCTGCAGACTCAAGGGTCCCAGGACTCAAGGGTCCCAGGTTCGATTCCAGTCAAGGGCATGTACTTTGGTTGCGGGCACATCCCCAGTAGGGGGTGTGCAGGAGGCAACTGATCGATGTTTATCTCTCATCGATGTTTCTCTCTATCCCTCTCCCTTCCTCTCTCTAAAAAATCAATAAATATATTTTTTAAAAAAGAAACTACTGGTGGGTGTTTTAGTGTTAGTCCTGGATCCAAGTCATGCTGTCCTGGTGAAGTATCACCTGGCCTTCACACCTGGGGCCTCCCCCAGCTCTCATTAAGGTAGAATCTTGACCTATACCAGAATTATTGGCAAAACTAAGGAAGTAAAGCCTTAGTTTCCTTACCTTAAAAATAAGAATAATTCCACCCTAGCTGCTTTTTTCTCAGTGGTTAGAGCGTCAGCCCGAAGACTAAAGGATTACAAGTTTAAGGTCAAGGGCACATAATTCGGTTGCAGGCTCAATCCCTGGCCCCAGTTGGGGGCAGTGCAGGAGGCAATCAATTAATGTGTCTCTCTCACATGGCTGTTTCTCTCTGTCTCTTCCCCTCCCTTCCACTCTCTCTAAAAATCAATGAGGGGGGGGGAGGGGGGAAATATCTTCGGGTTAGGAGTAACAAAAAAAAAAAAAAAGAATAATTCCTGCTCAGAGGGTTCCTGGAAGGATTAGTAAGGCATCTAAAGGAATTAAGCACAGATTTGGCAAGGTCCAGGTATTCCAGGATTTAATGCTTCCCTAAGAAAGGGTGAGATCTTGTGTTCTGGAGGAAATGAAGAGATTTGGAGGGAAAAATTCTTTTCAAAAAAATCAAACTTTTGACAACACTTACCAGTAAATTGTGCTTTGATACTTTGAATTGGAGGATACTGAGGTGGCACCTGAAGAAGGCAAAGAGATATTTTTAGGAAAATAAAGTGGTGAAGAAATGGAATTAACAAGTCATATTCTATGAAACAGAAATGGAGTAGACTAGAGAGGGAGCGACTTGGCAAAGACTTGGGTTTTTTCCATGGAGAATAGACCCAGACTGCCAACCTGCCCACTGGCCTTTCTATAACGCCCCTTAAGATAAGTTAGGAGTGTTCTGCCCTTTCATGCAAGCACCAAGGTCTGTGCTCAGCCCTGCCAAACTCTCCTTTGGTGTGTTGTTTTGGCTCACTGAGTCCCAATTTCCCATTTTGGATAACAGAGCATTTAATAGTCATCTTGTCAAGAAACCCATTCAGTCGCAGAGATCCATCCCCTCATGAAGAAGGCTGTGCCTGATCCACCCGCTGTGACCACTGACTCCCAGAATGCACTGGGAGTGAATTCTGGAAGCTTCCTAGCTCTAACGCAAGTGTAAAAGTGTTTTATTTTCAGGGCACACTACCAACTAAAACTAGTGTAATCCTTCAGAGTTTGGTAGATGTGAGTATAGTCTATTTTTTACATTGGTTTTCTCCCTTCTTCTTAAAAGCTTGAAAACCTAATTTGAACCCAGAGAGTATTTAACATCAAGAAAGGAGAGAGGAAGCCCAAGGGGTAAAATGTCTGCAGTAATTTGATGGGGAAGAGAACAAAGAAGTTCAATAAGGAGCAAACTATAAAGTATATGAAGCGAAAAAAAGCAAAAGGCAGAATCATGTATAAAGTATATGACTGTGTATTTAAAAAAATAAAAATATGGCTTACATGGGCATTGACTCTATCTGAAAGGACACACAAAACACTGTTTGCAAGTGTTGCCTCTGGAGAAAGGAACTGGAAGCCTAAAGTCAAGAATGGGAGTGCCCCTTACTTTTCATGGTCGACTTTTTTTTTATTTTGTACCATCTGCTTATATCACCTACTAAAAAGGGAAAGCGAGAAAAGAAAGCGCACTGTCTCTTGTGTCTGCCAAGAACAACAGCTCTCTCCGCAGGATGCTTTTTGGCTGATGGAGGTGTGGGGAGGAATTTGTTTTCATGCCCTGGAGTGTGGAATCCCTGCCTCCCACTCACTGGCATACAAGTAGCCGCAGTCAAGTGGATTCCTCAAGCGACTGCCCACGCGGACGAGGAATCCCCTATTTCCCGTAGAAGTCAAAGCACAAGCGTAATCCAGCCGAAACCAACAGGCCTGGGAGGTAGAAGGGAGAGACTTTTCCAGCCCTGCCAATTCATAATCCCCAGGGGTGAATAAATGCCCCACTGCTCTCTAAGCTAGCAAGTCAGTCCAGCATGAATGGCCACCTGGTTAAATTCAGAGAGTGCAGGGCTCAGCCAGCAGCAAACTAAGTTCTAGCCAGGCAGGGATGGTGTCATCATGGGCAAGTTTCACAACTTCTCTAGACATCACTTTCTCATCTTTAAAAATTACTAGAAGTTCAAGAGATCCCTTTTAGCGCTAACTGTCCATGATCCAGGTTTCTGAAGTTGTAACCCTAAGTCAATTTTCATAGAAGAGGAAAAAACAAGGCTTCCTCATCCCCAAACTTACGTCAAGCCCTCTGATCTGAAAGCCCTCATGATTGGATTATTTGACTGGCTATGCAAAAATCTCCACATGGTTTCTGCAGTTCAAGGAAATCTACCACAGTTTTGAAGCGCCCTGATGATGTAAGGGTAGTAGTGACCCAGGGGATGTTCTCTGAGACCAAGAGGCTGAGAGGCAACAAGGAAAGCTCACATGACTTCCTCTCTTGGTTAGAGCTACTGGAACTCCAGACTGAAGCTTTCTGTTCCTTGTCCTGATGGTTACTCAGTGTTAGAAATAGATATATTCTCAGAAGTCTCTAACTAGCATCAGTACCATTAAGTTTAAGCAATGTTGTGAAATAAAATAAATGGTCCTTCCTCTTGCTCTCTGCCCTGCCCTAACTCTTCCCCTCACCCTCCATACCTGATTAACTCATGCGGATAACCCCACTGCCCAGAAATAACCCCACAGTGCCCCATTCAAAGTTCTCCATGGCCCGGCTTCAACCTCCTGGTCAAACTTTATTTCCACACATATCCTTTCTGTGTCTTACATTCTAGCCAACCATTTTCTCTAATCTTGTTGCCCTTGAATAAGCGTGGTAAGATGAGACAGAGAGCATAGCCTTGAGGGTCAGAGTCAGTTCAAATTGTGACTTCTCTAATTTTATGAATTTGGAAACATTATGTTTAGCATTTCTGAGCTTCAGCTCTCATGCCAGTGAAAATAAGGCATATTGTTATTGGAATATTCCCAGGAGATGACTGTGAAGTTTAAATATGATAGCATATGTGAAAGCACCCAGCAGTTTGCCAAGTGCATGGTAAGCTTTAGAAAATACTTGCTTTCTTAGTTCTATCCAACAAGAATGTCCCTCCATTTCTGGTAACTCTGTCATTCCTCTTTTCTTGGCTTCACTTATGACAGCCCTCACACCCAGGAGGGAAGCCTGAACTCTGAGTGCTCCCTTTGTGCTCTCGTGATGAGTTCATGGTGAGACTACCACCCTGCCAATCTGCTGTGTGTGCCAACTTCTCTCTCCTCTGAGCTTGACACTGAAGTGGACACAAGAATGGAATGTTAATAAAATCTACCTAGGGGTTCCTCCTCACTCCAAATTTGAATCGGGGGGGGGGGGGCTACTTGTGTAGTATAATGGAAATCATACGGGAATGGAGGGGTGGAGTTGAAATCTTCCCTTTCTTGGCCTCAACTTCCTTATCTGTAAAATACAAGGTTCAACTAGAAGATGACTTCTTGTACACTCATGCTTCTAACATGGTCTCATTCAAACATCAGGGCTGTACTCTGATTGTGGTGTGTAGACTGTACTACACAGACAACCATGTAGAGTTGGCTAAGGAGATCTTCTCTGGAGAACTTCTGTCAGTGTAGACTGACAGGAGTTTGGAGACAGTGTGGAGTCTTCAGACATTTCCAGATTGAAGAAGCTTTATTGTGTAGCTTGTCCTTGGATGGAACTCCTCTGGGACCTTTGATATTTTCTATTTTGTTAGTCTCTGGAGAAGATCTGCGGATTTTTCTTGGGTTGATATATTTAAAAAAAAAGACCATGTTTGTGTATGGGTAAAAAATAAACTCTTCTGATATTTACCCTTATGAAAGTATTTGAGGGTCTAAGATTAATTTGAAGTATTTTCATCATCAGTACTGATCAAGATTAAAATATTGGGTTTTAGATAGTTGTCAAAATATTCAGATATATTTCAAAATACTCCAGAGGTTCTCCAGAGAAGATCTCCTCAGCCAACTCTACATAGTTGTCTGTGTGGTACAATTTGGCCCAACCTTTAGCTGGGCTCTGAAGAGGTGCAACTGATCTGATGGGGGGCAGCAGCCCCATGGACAAGTACAAAGCAGACAGGTGCTGCAAGAAGAGTCAGAAGTAGGTCCTTTTCTGGCCTCTCACAGTACCTTGAGCACTGAGCTGTTGGAGAACAAAACTGGGAAACATCTGATGTCCAGCCTTTACCCAGCAGCCTGTACCATGTTCCCAGGAACTCATCTTTGGAGAGAGTTTCTAATTCTAACTTACTAGGATGTTGGCAATTATTTTACTCACTTGGCATTTGTCTTGCGGATAATTCTTGGCAGGAAGGAATGAGCCTCTGGAAGGTATGAAACCAGGGCATGGGCTCTACCTTCACTCTGTGGGCCTTGCCCTTCCTCACTTGATACCCAGCCACAATGTCAAGATGTTAGGTGGGAGAGGGGTAGTGTGGGAGTCAGTGGAGCACGGTGGGGAAACAGATCTGTGATGGGGACTCCCCAGTTCACCATGCCACCTCCACTGGTATGTGAACATCTCCTCCCTGTGCCTTGGGCTTCATGTCAGAGGAGACCTGAGAGATCATGAAAGCACACTCTCACACTCTCAGGGTGCATCTCAAGGAGCCTCTGCAGGGGAAGATGGAATTTTCCATCCTGAGCCATTGCAGTCAGCTGGGAAGCTAGACTCTCATCCTGAGGCATTCGGTGGTGCTCAGCAGAAACAGCCTCCTTACCAAGGGCAAGGCCTTACCTTCTGATCAGGGAAGTTCAGAACCCCACGTAGAGAGAGGACTAGGAAGAATGGGAAAAACTGGTTCTTTGCCCAAGCAGCCTTCCACATTCAGAAAAACCTCATCCCGAAAGTTACATTTCTTAGAAACGAAGATGTGTGGCTCTGAAAACCATGTTGAATAAAGAGTCTATTGGGATCTAATGACACAAAGAACAGCCATTTTAATTATAATCTCAAACCCTCTCTTTCTCCTTCCCCACCCTTCACCATGACTGTCAGCACCTTTCTCCTATAAGCTCTCTCTTAACCTTCATTCTCTTCTCTACTACACAATCCATGCGATATCCTAACATAGCCCCCCTCTCTAAACACTGCCCTTTTTCTTGTCACAATTACTTAGTAATGGCTACCCCACAGAGAGGACCCTGTCCTCTCTATCTCAGAGAACAAGAACTGCAGTTTCATTGTCCCAGAAGCTTAGCAATTAACAGATTCCTAAGAGGGATCTCAGGAATGAACCAAAAGCATCCAGGTGGCATGAACACACCTTCAAAATTATGTGATTGACCAAATGCAACCAACTTTTGCTGTCCTCAAGGGGAAGGTTTTCTCATATCTGGGTTTCCCTTTCCACATGAACTGGGGAAGTCCTCAAAGTATACCCACAGAGGCATCTGCCAAAACATTTCTAAGAACTCACTTCCTCACCTTGGTGATTGGGTGAGTCTGCAGCATAACATTCTGTAGCAGCTTAGTTTCTAAGCAACTGGAAGGGTCAGTTACAGTGTACCCACTGTATTATCATAAATCTCACCCTGCCTCAATCATAATGAAGTTCAGTTAAGTAAATGTTTGCTGAGCTAAGAGGGAACTTAGCCCCTAAGACTATGCCTGCTCCTTAGTTAGGGACTTCAT